TGTTAGCGGCGCCGTGTTGTCCTCGCCGGCCCAACCGCTTTATGGTGCCCCGCCGCCCGTCGCCGCGTTAACTCCGGCTGCGCCGCTGCCGCCCCGTGTTTTCCAGGGAAGTGCCGGGGGCTCCGCACCGCCCGCAAGCTCCGCAGCCACCGCCGCGACCAGAAGTGGCACGACAAGCAGTACAAGAAGGCCCACCTGGGCACCGCGCTGAAGGCCAACCCCTTCGGCGGCGCGTCCCACGCCAAGGGCATCGTCCTGGAGAAGGTGTAAGTGAAGTCTTAAGTTCTCACCCGAGACACCAAGAGGTGGGGGCTGCACCACTGACAACCATCTTCTCAACCCGAGTCAGTTTAGCTGCCATAACTGGTTATTGTCACAGCCTCTAATATTGGCTCTGTTGGGTGCTTCTTTGAAAACATTCCCAACAAAATTTGACTTTCCCATTGCGTCTCTGGTAAGTATGCACAGTAATATTAGTGCTTTACCTGGTTTCTACTGTTTACAATCCTCCTAATTCGAACAGTACCGTGAGGTAGTCTTTTTCACTGAATCCTAAACTTGTCTCTGAAAAAAACACAAGTGTTGCTTTACATGTTTGTGAATTTTTACTGTAGTTCTCAAGGATTATTTTGAATGTACCTTTACTTTAGAACAACCGTGGGTATGCTGATTCATCTCCTCAAGAAGTACTTTTTTCTTTAGAAAGCAGATGACACCTTTAACATGAGCATATGATGTCTAGAAAGTAGTTACAATCTTAGACCTGTACAAGAGAAGAGCTGGTGAGGGAAGACTTAATGATACATGGAAAGAATTACAAATGTTAAGAGGTTGGTTACTGAAATTTTAACATTTAGATTTTTATTTCCAAGCTAAGCTGGTTTTATCAGATGTCAGAAATCAGATTTCACAGAAAACAAATCAGATTATACTGGGAGTTTTAAGATAAGCTGTGGGATTTTGGAGGGGGTTGGTGGACTTAACTGCTAAGCTAACTGAAACATTTTAAATTTAGAAGTGGTTATGTAACAGTACTAGAGTTCTCCAAAGGAAAAAAATAGTTTCCACCCAGCTACCGCTGGATGGATGACAGCTTCCCTGCAAAATTATTTATTTCAGTGCTAAGCACCTAACCTAGGTGGGGCCAGAAACATGACAACAAAAGAAAAAGTAGAAGATGGATGCCATAACCTATTATTGCAACTGTGTCTGTAGGCTGAGGAGAGTAGTATGTTGCGGCTACATTTACGCAGTAATATACTGCCCAGGGAGATTCTTGGCACGGAGACTAACTGGCATGGAACAGCCATAGCTGTGCAAGGAAACTGTCTTTGCCAGGGTCTCAGAGGGCACTTAGTGCAGACCCCATTTAAAAGTAGCCCCTGAAATCTTTGGACTCCCTAGCTCTGCTGAGGAATTGTTTGGGAGAATTTTAGTGGGGAGAGGTCAAAAGCATGCTAGGGACCATTCTGACAGTTTAGCATTAAAGACAGTGGTGCTCCAGGGCCTGGGAATTTCCTGTATGGTAAATGAAACAGTGCCTAACTGCAGCCTGCAGGGACTAACAGTTTAGTTGTACAAAACTTGTGATGACTAGGACTTTCTGTAGTTCCCTGAAGAAATTGTTGCTGGTGTACAGTTTTACTGCTATGTCAAATGAACCCGTCCGAGTTTCTTAGAGCTTTGTGAATTAGTATATTGACGATTTTTAAAGCAATTCCTTTGTAATTTCAGTGGTGTGGAAGCTAAGCAGCCCAATTCTGCTATTAGGAAATGTGTCAGGGTCCAGCTGATCAAGAATGGCAAAAAAATAACAGCCTTTGTTCCCAACGACGGTTGCTTGAACTTCATTGAGGTGAGTAACTTTCATCCAAAATTAGTACAAATAACTGTCCCGGTGCAACTGTGCTTAGAAGTAGTTAAGTTATTGGTCCTATACTTTGGGGGATCTTAATCATCTGGAAGCTACCATGCTCTTCTGCTTAGTCATGTAGACTGTGAAATAATTGAGCTTGAATTTTCAAGCTTGAGGCCTCTTCAGCAAACTCTTGGTTTAGTTACACCATATTGTACATATGCATGTAAATTTATGAAAGCAAGTCTTGACTTTAGCCTTAAACTTCTTTTTTGAGTTGTTACTTCAATGAAGTCTGTCAGTTTTTGTTTTTAACAATCTGATAACTGCTTAATTCTAGGAAAACGATGAAGTTCTCGTTGCTGGTTTTGGTCGGAAGGGTCATGCTGTTGGTGATATTCCTGGAGTTCGTTTCAAGGTTGTCAAAGTAGCCAATGTTTCTCTATTAGCCTTGTACAAAGGCAAGAAAGAAAGACCAAGATCATAAATTCCTTTTGTGCCAGCTAGAGTACTAATAAACGTTTTAATTTGATAAATATTTGTGTGGCTTTCTATGTCATAAATGAAGGGTTTGTATATACAAACCCTTCACTCTGTGTATTATTAAACATTGGGTGACGTGTTTGAGTGAATGATTTGGCTATAGATGACGCTAAAACTGAGTGCTTCTCTGATTTTGGATCAGAGAGGCATAACTTATTTTGAGGAATATGATCAAAAGGAAAAAAAAAAAAACCTTATACCAGAATTTTCACAAGTCCTACGTAAGTTTAAAAATCAAAACAAGAAATGGCAAAACCTACGGTACTATCATCTCAAATCTCTGTTCCTGGAAGATCTTAACACATTAGTGAATGTTTGTTTGCTTTGTGCACTGAACGGCATAGTCTGTTTCAATATATTCATTTTATTAATTCATCTATTTCCTTCCTAGTCAGCCTTTAAATATCAAAAGTTCCTAATGTTCTTAAAATGGTAAAGCAAGACTATAATATTTTTACTAGCTTAATTTCCCTATTCTTAAAATTACCAAATTGGGATTGCATTTGCTGAAGATACTTGTTTATAGTAGTACTCTGTTAGCTCCTGAAACTGTTGCTTGGTTTTCTGGTTTTGTTTGTTTTTTTGTTATTGACTTAATTTATTTATTCTGTCCAGATTGAATATAAAAAGCAAAACAGCCCTGCGTAAACACACACAGTATGTATTTTCTGTTTAAGCTGTAAACATACATTGTGTTAATAAAGATACATTTAGATCTAATTATTGCCCCTTCACAGTAATTCCAAAAAGGGAAATGAATGTTCATGGCTTTTTCTTTTAGGGAGTGGATTCCTTGATGAAGCAGCTGTGCCTGTCTGCTTGGCATCTGCAGACTGCTAAATTTTGGTGGAATTGACTCAAAGTAGCTTTCAGAATTAATAAATGCCTGTTTCTGTTACAGAGTTATACTCTGGTCTAGATCCAATAAAAATTTAGGAGAAATGCAAGCATTTAAGTCAAAAAGTGCAGTAAGAAATCCTCCTTGTGCAGCTACCATTTAAATTGCTTGTGTATCTTCCGAGTTCATTCTAAATATACCATTCTTGGAGATTTCTGCTGTTGCTCATGTTGTGAACAGCTTGGTGCATGTCTGCTGCATAAATCTGATGAGGCTGTGGAAGAACTTAAGGGTTTCCTTGCATGCGCGATTTGATGAACTGTAAGAACATTAAGGCAGAAATAAGGGCCGTTTCAAGTTCCAGCTGAGGCTGTTTTACTCCAAATGGGAGTGATGCCACCATGCCGTTCTAACCAGTGAAGGGCATCGAACGTGCACTTCTTTCCTTAGGCTAATAATTGGGCTAAACCTTTCACTTTCAAGTGTTTCATGCCTAAAAATGCTGCAAAGGCCACACTCATACGGAGTGTGGGAGTTACTCTCCATTTCTCTTTAACTATGGAAAACGCCACAAGCGACAGAAGGGGAGCGCGAGTAGCCTCGGTTAAGGCCATCGGGACTCCTGTCTCCTTTACAACTGGCGTTTTTGTATCTCTGGGTCACTGGCTACAGGAGCGACTCACGCTGAACCGGCAGGCTGAGCCCGAGCTGAGGCTCCCCTGCGGCGGGCGGCTTTCACCCTAAGACAAGAGCCGCGTCCCCTGGCAGCGCGGCCGGTAGCCGCCGGAGGCGCGCAGGCGAGCGGGGTACGGGCCGACCAGCGGGAGGACTCGGGGCTCCAGCTCCCCAGGGCGCGGGGAGGGCCGGGACTTGGGCTCTGTGTGACGAGGCAGGAGAGACGGCTTTAATTCTTGCACCGTTTCTACAGAGAAGCTTTACTACCTTCCGCTGTCACCTCAGAAGTGAGGAGCGACTACAAACGGTGCCTTCACCTGCTCCCCTCCCCAGCGACGTCTGGAATTCCCAAAGCAACCGGACCGAAGAAAGAAAAACAAAAAGGCTAATTAAACCGGTAAAGCGGCTGCGGGCGGGAAACGAGAGTCACCGCTGCGGCGGGCGCT